ATAACTTGAAATATGTACTCTTAACACTACGGACCAGTTGAAAGCCTGTGAAATGAAAGTATTAGAGGTAACAAAGGAAATTTGAAATTACGCACTTCTGGGACCTTTTTTTTTATTTATCTAAAATAAAGTGAGTATTGATAAAACATAGAATAAGCCCACAGTCAGGTCTGACAGGATACAACGGTGAAGTTGAAGGGGTACTGTGCTTGTGTTTAGTCTTGGTAGATACTAACTAGATTACACTTCTAGTTGTCTTTCTGTAAAAGGAACACTAATGCTTTTGGAGGATGCATATTTTTCAGTTTGCTCGTGTATTCTATATATCTACTTTAACTTTTCCCCCCCTGTAAGCACAATGACCAAGACATTTTCTTTTTGTAATGCAGTTTACCTAAAGGCAGAAAAATCAACCAATTGCATCTTTCCTGAAACTGTTTTGTGTTGTTTATAGGCTGGCACATGGAAATGGTGCAACCGTATTGATGCAAATTCTCCACCCTGTGACCTCCCATAGAAGTAGAAATTTTGTTCATCTCAATTCTACTTCATTTACACCATAGTTTGTTATGGCTCCACCTACCAAAAAGGGAAACGGCACAAGTTGATGGGGAAGAAAGGTGGGGGAGGGTGTAATCCATGAAATCACCTTGGGAAGTATGTTCCTTTATTGAGCAGTTAAGTACACTGGGGCTAAAACCATTCAAGCAAGATCATGCCTTGAAGTTCTGCTCCTGCGCATGGACCCAGACTATGAAATATCTGAAGTTTTCTGGTGTTGCTTCATGTTCCAAGGAGTGTCGTTTTACACTTCTACTAAGCTGATCTAGTAGTTAGATTTTCTTGCTAGGGATGTTTATGTTCACCAGCTGCTCCTTTTTTTTTTTTGTACTGGTGTTCACCTAATCCTGGGGTGATCTGATTCAGAAGATGAAGATCGTAAAAAGGTCATTACTGTTTCTGTGGTTCACCTCTGTGAATTGGCTCATAGTAATGTCAAATATTAATGCAGGTATAATGGAGAAGGCCAGAATGGGAAAAAAGGCAAAAGGAGTAAGACTGGCAGCAGTAACCTGTTAAACCACTTTAATTGTAAGAAAGGAGAGAAGCACATGAAAAATCTATATAGTGTAAAATGTTAACCATAAACACTAATTTTCTCACTATTTTCAGTTCTTTGCTTTCAAAGATGGAACGCAGTTTTTACTGAAGTGGTCATTGTGCTCTCACAGCTTCCATCTCTTGAATGTTGTGGGAAAGGGGGGGGTTTGGGGGGAAGTTCAATTAGTGACAGAAGTTTGGAGAATAGAAACAGTAAGAGCCTTTTTGCCAAGACTGTGGATAATTCTTGGGGGTGGGGAATGGGGTGTTAGAACCCAAATCTGTCACATAAACAATAGAATGCAAGTTTCTAGCTAAAGTTTTGATTTCTGAATACTGACTTCGAGGGTACTTACACTCTTTTACCACTGGGCCAAAACTTAGACTGGGATTGTGAATTAATCTTCTTAGGCCACTCCAGCTTTTTTTTTTTTTTTAAATATTGTCTTGGAAATTGAAAGCTTTAAACTGGTAGCTATTGTCAGTCAATTGAAACTCTCAACTCGCTACATCATAAAACAAAACAGAAGACACCACTTTTTGCATGCATTCAGAATCATGGAAGGGAAGCTTATAAGTATAATTGAGCGCGCATGAAATTTGTGGAAACTGAACTATTGTCTTGATGCATGAATGTACTAGTACAGTTTACCTTGTATTTGAAGCCTGGAGTTATTAGTGGAATTCCCAGTAGGATAAACCTGTATCTGGCAGTGTCTCTTTGTTTCCAAAAGCATCCCTTTAGAAGGTAATTTCATTGCAGCATGAGGAACTCCAAATGGTTGGCATTCATAGCAGTAGAATTCAAGAGATCAGGAATTTATCTTGGCTCTTGGTGCAGTCATTGTAGCTTTATCCCTAGATTATTTGCTAAAAACTATTGAGGGATCTTACCCCTTTATTTTTACATCTTTTTACTGTGTGACCTCTGAAGCCCTTACCCCAGTAAGGGTCAGAGCTTTTGTATTCCAGACATGGATCTAAAAGTGTCAGAGTATTACCTGTATGCACTTACTTACTTGTAGGTCTTCTGAGCTTCTGTAATGCTTCAAGTTTGCACATTACACTTAATCCTATCCAGAAGACCAAGTAAGGCTTAATCCCTCAGTGTAGGCAGTGCTAGTGGAAAATCAGTTTTGTTCACGTTAGGCTCAACTTTCTGATCACTGAGGTCAACCTTCCAGTTTGAGGAAGAAAGGTAATGTTCTTCCTCACAAAAGGATTTTGATGCTGATGAGAAGTCAGCATATCAACTCCATACAGCAATCCTGTTAGCCATCCAGGATCGCCTCAGAAGAGGGATACAATCTACTCATATGAGACTTGTATCAGTAAATAACATTGAGGCAGAATAACATACCTATTGAAAATTAAAATAAAGCAACACAAGCTTCCTTGTGCTGAATTTTATCTAGTCTCAGTTAAACCATGACTCCCTTTTCTCTTCCACCTGCTGCTGCTTCCATACTGGAGTTAACTTTTTGTTGCACAAAACCCCTTAGAAATCTTGTAAATGGGAAGTGTCCCATCTGAGTTAGGTATGTGAATTTTCAGGGGGTCTAATTGTATCTAAGAGGAGAAAGGGGAGATTCTTTGAGTGGAGAGACTAAAACTATTCTTTGGTCAGGTTTGTGAAGGTTGCATCACAGAAGACAATGCGTTGATTTGAATAGACAGCAAGATCCCCTTTTCTCTCCCATCTGCCTGCTCGTGGTTACTTGTGACCATGCTCAGAAGTTGGCTGTTCAAATATGACTCCCTTCTTTATTTTTCCCGCTTTTTATAATTCCCTGACCAACAGTGTCTAAAGAAGCTTCAGCTTAGAAATCCAAGTTCTTGCCCTAGTACCTGACACTACCATCTACTTAGTTAAGAACGTACCAGCTTCATCTCCGTAGACACCACAGCCTGTTCCCACAGCTAATATTGTGGAAATGGGCAAAGGAGAAAAATGCCATGTCATCCAGGCAGTCAGCTTTGCATGTGCCTACAACTAAGCTTAATTTTTTGATCACCGTTACAGCATGTGGTCACCCACTGTGAACATACTTATTAAATGGTAAACATCTGATCTCATAAATAAGACAAGTTTCTGCAGAAGTTCTTGTTATCAGTATGGTCTGTCTCTAGGGAATTCATGATGAAAGTATCTGAAACTGCTTCACAAAGGCATGCTGTAACTTTTACCACTAGTTGACCTAGAAGGGGAGAGCAGCTCCTTTCTTTCTAGAACTTATTTTTCAGTAAGCACAACTTCATATGGACCAATAAAGGAGTGGTTGTTCTAATAGCTGACAGTTTTATTGAGGGCTGTTTCTACTGTGGGTGTTCACTTCAGCTGGGATGCAAGTTTTGCTTTCTAGTAATTCATTGCTTTGGCTGCTCAGTATTCATAACTGTCAGTCTCTCTTAAATGACCTTCTCCTTTCCCCAAGAAAAGCTTTAAAATATTTTCTTGTGTTTGTTCTTGAAAATGTTTTCCTGGACAGCTTGTTCTCTAACCAAAGAATCTAATTTGGAAAGTAGGGCTGTGTGAGGGCAAGTAGTAGTACTCGAGGTCTATTTAAAGTTGGCTTGGTTTAAGCAAAGAGGTTTTTGCTTCCAGGTGGTTGATCTTTAGAGAAAGAGCAATGGAATATTTACATAATTACTTTGACAGTAAAGATCCTTGATGATCTGAGTGAATAATGTCTTTTAATTTAGTAACTCCTAAACTATTAATTGGCCAAGCCCCATCTCTTGCTATACTTTGAGCCAGGTGGATGGGAATGCAAAAAACACCAGTGGTTTGGGACAAAAAATAGGGGTTTTTTTCCATTATTTTCAAGTTCAGAATACTTTGGAGTTAAGGATGAGGTAAAAAGCAGCAGTAAAATGTGGGGAGAGCTGCTTCTATGTTGCCATTGTGTTATGGCTTAAAGTAAGTTTTACAAGATCTATGTTCAAAGTTGTTTCAGAAGACTGTAACTTGCTTTTCAGCTTTCTCAACTTAGAAAATAATTGGTCATTTAAGAATTAAGGCAGTCAGTTGGGTGTTTTCAGACTTGAGTAATTCCTATAAACCCCTGCATCTGTGCTTGCCTCCTTGCCTTGTTGTCTAAGTGCTTCAGGCACATGGTGTTTTAACATAACCGGTATGACTCTGCTTATGATGCATCTGTAGTTGCCGGTGGTCGGGCTGGAAGGAGGAGGAATAGTAATCAGTAATATTAGTTCCATTACAGTATTCTTGTCTGTAATCCTATATCCATCTTGCTTCCCGTGAAGAATTATCGCTCATATTTTCAATGGAAAGCGAAGGGAACAGAACTCCTAACTGGCAGTGAAGTGGGTGACTGGTGCACATATACTAGCTTTGATTGGCAGACCGTCTCCTTGTTTCTTGGTAGGTGGAGCCCTAACTTTGCTGTTGCTGGGTAGAATGGGAGAAGACTATAGTAATTACAGTGAGTAACTCTGCTGTACAGATAAGTACAATCCAGACCACTGTTCAGAGGACTGATTCTGTCATGGCATCTGAAATTCTAGCCCATGTATCACTAACAGTGTCGCTGTTCTTGTTCCATTTTTTTTTCCCCCCAACTTTAGTTCCCATCTTTTAATTCAAATTTGGTAGAGATACAAGTTTGGCTTTAGGTTGTGCTGACTGGAACTGACCTGGGATTGCCATAGACCTGTTGACATTATCTCCCTGATGCAGGTTCAATTAAACTTTTGCTTGGTATGTAAAATAAACATAGTGCTGGCTTGTATTTTATTTTTTTTACCATTGAGAAAAATCTTTAAATTTTACAGTATTCACGTGAGTTGGTATTTGGGTGCATTTTCACATGCATAGCCTGTATATACTGTACTTTCTGTAAAGTTGCTTTTCTTTTCCCCTTTTTCTCTGCCAAAAGGATTCTGATACACCACCTTGCACAGCTCCTAATGTTTACCAGTTCAGTCTGCAAGCACCGACTCAGCTTATGGCCAGTTTACCACCCGCATTGCCTATGCCAAGTGGTAAACCCCAATCTGCGCCTACGAGAACCTTGATAATGGCCGCCAGTAATCAGGTATGAGCCAACTAAATGGAGCAACTTTTTCATGAGAAAGCGATCGAATCGGAAGTGTAGATCATTTGCGCTGTGCTGTCAGTCTGAAAACCTCTGAAGATAACCTTCATATAGCATGTGCTAAACTTCATGTAATCATAAAAGTATTTATCTGCTGTGCCAGAAGTGTGGGGAGAAGAATGGGTGGGAAAGGGTTCGCTGTTTGAGATGCATCTCTGAATATAAGCGCCCTTCCACAGCACACTGACACCTAGGAATAAGTTGAAGGGAGAGTGTCAGATGTCTGACTCCTTAAGTTGTATTTGAGACTCCTGATGCCTAACTAGTGAGATATTTGCAGATCTTTAGGCTATTTAACTTCCTGTTCTTAAAATAGAAACTTCATGTAGGTGGTGTATCTGTAAGCTAGCTTTTGAATGTGAAGAAATGGTACTAACCTGTCCAAGCTTGTTTAGTTGTCTTGATTTTGCATTACTAGAACAGAAACAACTACACTTGTAACTTTGTGTAATACATTTTAAAGGTAGAGAATAGAAAATTAATTATGGGCACATGTACAAGAATTTTTACCAAAATACTAAATGAGTGCTTAAGTGTGCTAGGAGGTGAACATGCAGGGAGACTATGTTTCTCAACTAGCCTGAAGTGTTTTAGCTAATGTATCCGTTATAGTACAAGGGGAGTAAAAATTCTTAGTTTTTCTTACAGCCTCAGTGCCTCTATATGAAAATACTCCCTCAATCTTGATTATTAAAGCTATTAGTCAAAACAACCGCCTCACATGAGCTTTAATGCAAGTTGTGGGTTGTATTTTGCCTATGATAACAAAATAATGAGCCGGTTTCTTTGAAACTGTGTTTTGGTCAGGTTCTTACAATGTTTTCCTTTTTCTCTCAGTCCTTCTGTCACAGTTCTTAGGAATCTAGGGCCAGGATATTTTTAATTTAAGGACCTTGTCTTTTTTTTGTTTGATTCAGCACTTCCTTGATGTTTTGGGCATGACACAAGGTGTATTTGCTTCAGTTTCTGCTTTGAGATTGTTCAAGTATTTTGCAGAATTGCAGAATAGTTGAGGTTGGAGGGGGTGTCTGGAAGTCACCTAGTCCAACCCTCCTACCCAAAATGGGGTCAGATACAGCAGGTTGCTCAAGGCCTTGTCCTGTTAGGGTTTGAATATTTCCAAGGATCAAGACTCCCCAACCACTCTGGGAAACTTGTTCTGGTAAAAAAGGTTTTTCTCTTAAGTGGTGTTTTTTGTATTTCAGCTTCTGCCTATTGCTTCTTGTCCTTTTACTGGGCACCAGTGAGAAGAGTCTGGCTCCATCTTCTTTACACCTTCTCATTAGTTAGACCCATCAATAAGATCCTTTTCGGGCTCTCTTCTTGAGATTAAACAGTCTGAGCTTTGTCTTAACTTCCGTGTATGACAAATGTTTTGGTTCTTTTTATCTCCATGGACTTTCATGGGACTCACTGAGGTATGTCCATGTCTCTCTGCCATTGGGGACCCCGGATCTGGGCCCAGCACTCCGTGTGTGGCCTCACCAGTGCTGAGTAGAGGGGAAATGATCGCCTCCTTTGACCTGCTAGAGATACTCTTCCTAATGTAGCCCAGGATGCTGTTAGCCATCCTTGATGCAAGGGCATGTTGCTGGCTCATGTTCAACTTGTCCACAGGGAATCCCTGGTCATTTTATGTCAAGCTGTTCCAGCTGGTTGGTGCCCAGTGTGTACTGGTGTGTGGGATTATTCCTTCCCAGTGGCAGAATTTAGTGTTGCCCTTTTGCAAACTTCATGAGATCCCTGTCAGCCCATTTTTCCAGCCTGGTGAAGTCCCTCTTTATCGCAGCACAACCGTCTTATGTGTCAGCTTCTCCTTCCAATTTTGTATAATCTGCAACCTTGCTGAGGGTCACTGTTGCCCATTGTCCAGGTCATTAACAGACATGTTAACTAGTATTGACCCTAGTATCAGCTCTTGGGATATATGACTAGCTGCTGACCTCCAGCTGGACATTGTGCTGCTGATCAAAATGCTTTGAGCCTGGCATGTAAAAGAATACTTTTCGTTCAGCCTGTGAGTTTGATTTATATGTCTAGAGCTGGTAACCGCCACTTACTACAGAATAAAAAACAACTCAGTGCTTTAAACATTGAAACTTTTAGATGAATAACGAAGAAATTTCATCTGGACAGCATTTTCAATGTTCAGGAATATCAACATTGAGTTAGGGTGTGTTATAGCTTGATGCCCAAATTCTTTGTAGTTGCTACACAAGTGGTTGTTTTCAGCACTTTGCTGAAACGGTTTTCACCCTTTCTTTCATTTAGAGCAGGCTGTTTTCCCTCTGCATACCGCAGGTGTGCCACAGTTTCCTTGCAGGCAAGTTAACACAGAAGGGGCACCATCTTTGAAAGGTGTTATCACATGCTCTTCCCAGCTACCTCTGCAATCCTCAGTCATTTACCAAGCCCCACTTGTATCTCGAGGTATGCCTTTTGTTTTAATCTTCTAAGTGATCGCACAGATTCCGCCCCTGCTCTTTCCCCTGTTATCTGTCCTCTACTGCTGAATCTTACCTAGGCAAAACCAGCTTATCTCCACAGAAAACGTTTTCTGTTAGTGAGAAGCTCATAGAACAATATATTGCTATTTTAGGGTCTGCAATGAGTATTCACATGCTAGTGTACAGTCTGGAACTTTTGAAGTTTGTTTAAAATAAAACTGGAGAGCTATTTTAAGTTAAACTTCATCTAAAATACAAACTTAGTCTAGTTTATTCTTTTCCTTAACAACCCTGCTTTTCTGAAGAGGTACCCTGAAGCTTAACTTTATCAAAATTATGTGAAAAAAGACTTCAGTTTTGAGGCATGCAGTTGTTAGTACAAAACAAGTTGGCATCCAGATTTTTTGCCTTAGTTGTGAAGAGGCGATGTTTTGCATGAATTTTGGATCTCTGATGGAATTTTGAATCTTGGAAAACCAACTGCTTTGTAGCACTTTTTCTGGCTTTCTGTTACTTGGCTGTCCTTTCCAATACTTGTTAACTGTTCTTAGTAGTTTGTACAATACTTATATGTTTAAAATTGGGAATTATTCTGTGGCTTTTCCTTTACAAAGATGTGCCTTTGACATTCATTTTAAATCAGAGGAATTTCTTGCTATCTGCGGTTTAGAAACGGAATGATGCTTTTTCTGCATTGAATTTACCAAAAGCTTATGTATTGGGAAGTAGAAATGTTCATTTTTGATAAGGATTATAACCAAGTCAGAAGTGGGAAATGAAATCATTCTACCCAGAATACTGTAAATGTCTCCTTTTAATTTGCAACTTTCTGGAGCATGACTGAACTAGATTAGGTTGGTGGCTTTCCTTTTGTAGTTGATATAACTTAAGATCATGCTAGTTTATAACTTTTAATAGGAACGTTTTACTAGCTCAGAGGACTCCTGTCCTGATAGACTTGAACACATGCAAGCCTTTTTCTTAACAGCAAATGTTCTTTCATGTTCTGAAAGTCTTTGAAAGGGATTAATTTGTTTGCGTGGTGTCTCCAGCTTTTTCCCTGGCAACTTTCTCTGCTTTGGTTCAGCTTGGAAGCTGTACCTAGGTGTTCAGTACTACTCTCAAAAGCAGGAGATGCTAATGCCAAGAGCACTAACTGTATATTGAACAACTTGTGGCCTTCTAGCCTAATTCTCTGCCATTAGAACTTCCTAATACTTTCTTTTTTGAAACAGCTTTGGTGTGATTACCAATTCTATTTGCGTACTGCATAATTAATTGAAGAATTTCTAGGTGGTTCAGGGACTAATTAAACTCCTGATAAAGGTCTGTGTGCTTTTTGGGATCATCATCATTTTTTCAAGGTAATCATTCTTCTGCTTTGCTGACAAGCAGTTTGAAATTTCACTTGGGAGAGCAGAACAGTTTACGAACCAGTGCTGCCTACTAGAATAAGCAGAAAAACAGATACAGGCATGCATGCCCAGGTGAATGGAGGGGCTGGAAATTGTTTGGTGACTTCCCATGGAGAAGAACGAACTACTTTCCTTCTTGTTCTGGGTTTGAAATAAGTTCAGTTCATTCTTCCTTGGATTGCTGGTCCCTTAGTCACCAATGAAGACAGAAGAAACTTCGTGTTGCTTAGGTCAGAAAAACACTTTCCTTTTACTTTAAGTTGGGGTGGTCCCAAAGAGTGTTCTTTTGATTCAAAAGTATCTAAAGTCAGTAAGCACCAGTCCTTCTGCTGCGCTGGCTTCCAGTGTGCCAAACAAAACCTCCACTGAAGACCCTTTAGATGAGTGTTATCTGATCATGGATATGTTCAATGAAAATTTCGTAGCAGCATTCACTGGCTCAGTTGTGAAGCACAGGAAACAACTAGGAAATGAAACCTTAATGTCAGTGCTGAAATACCACAGTCTAAATAACTCTTAGAATAACTTGTAGAAGCAGTTTTTCAGATTCTTTTGTGTTTGGTCATATAAGGCCAGACACTTAAACTTATAAACTACTTGTTTATGTTGCTTTACAGGCACTTCACTGGCTAAAATACTTTGCTTCAGAGTTTGCTCTTGTCCAGAATAGTTGTTAATGGTGTGGCTTTGTCTCACTGGTGATGCTGATACTGCTAGTGTGACTGGAATGATTCTGCAGAAGCGAGCAGTGTTGGAAACAGAAAGAACATTGGTCAGGCGCTTGCAATCGTAAAATAAAAACTTTTGACTCAAGTAGTTAAGTGTAGTTTATGTCAATGAAAGATAGATTTGTAAAGATACATTTTAATTCATGTCAAAGCTGAACTGTAGTCCACTTTACCAAATATTTCTGAGAAGGCGGGTGTCATCAACCAGTCAGATATAAAAATGTGCTAAACTCCCTTAGTATAGTGTTATACTTCACACTTTTAAGTATGTTAACTTCAATTTAGAAATGACCTGATTTGTTTCTTTGGTGGCATTATTAAGCTTTTCAGGTATTGAAGGCTTGTTCAGT